GCATAGGTGACCACAGACCCAAACCCTTGGATCTGAGAACAATGAAAAAGCATTCAGTTTTCTTACAAGAAGTCTTTTAATAGAAATAGAAGTAAATAGAAGTAAAGAAATCACCTCTGTAAAATCAGGATGGTAGATACCTTACAGGGTAATTAGATTCAAAACACAGAGAATCCCTCTAGGCAAAACCTTAAGTTACAAAAAAGATACACAGACAGAAATAGTTATTCTATTCAGCACAATTCTTTTCTCAGCCATTTAAAGAAATCATAATCTAACACATACCTAGCTAGATTACTTACTAAAAGTTCTAAGACTCCATTCCTGGTCTATCCCCGGCAGAAACCAGCATATAGACAGACACACAGACCCTTTGTTTCTCTCCCTCCTCCCAGCTTTTGAAAGTATCTTGTCTCCTCATTGGTCATTTTAGTCAGGTGCCAGCGAGGTTACCTTTAGCTTCTTAACCCTTTACAGGTGAGAGGAGCTTTCCCCTGGCCAGGAGGGATTTCCAAGGGGTTTACCCTTCCCTTTATATTTATGACACTTGCCCTTGGTGAATCCATGCTGACTGTTCCTGATCACTTTCCTCTCCTCTAAGTGCTTCAGAATTGATTCCTTGAGGACCTGCTCCATGATTTTTCCAGGGACTGAGGTGAGGCTGACTGGCCTGTAGTTCCCAGGATCCTCCTTCTTCCCTTTTTTAAAGATGGGCACTACATTAGCCTTTTCCCAGTCACCTGGGACCTCCCCTGATCGCCATGAGTTTTCAGAGATAATGGCCAATGGCTCTGCAATCACATCCGCCAACTCCTTTAGCACTCTTGGATGCAACGCATCCGGCCCCATGGACTTGTGCTCGTCCAGCTTTTCTAAATAGTCCCGAACCACTTCTTTCTCCACAAAGGGCTGGTCACCTCCTCCCCATGCTGTGCTCCCCAGTGCAGTAGTCTGGGAGCTGACCTTGTTCGTGAAGACAGAGGCAAAAAAAGCATTGAGTACATTAGCTTTTTCCACATCCTCTGTCACTAGGTTGCTTCCCTCATTCAGTAAGGGGCCCACACTTTCCTTGACTTTCTTCTTGTTGCTAACATACCTGAAGAAACCCTTCTTATTACTCTTAACATCTCTTGCTAGCTGCAACTCCAGGAGTAATCTGGCCTTCCTGATTTCACTCCTGCATGCCCGAGCAATATTTTTATACTCATCCCTGGTCATTTGTCCAATCTTCCACTTCTTGTAAGCTTCTTTTTCGTATTTAAGATCAGCAAGGATTTCACTGTTAAGCTAAGCCAGTCGCCTGCCATATTTACTATTCTTTCTACACATCAGGATGGTTTGTCCCTATAACCTTAATAAGGATTCTTTAAAATACAGCCAGCTGTCCTGGACTCCTTTCCCCCTCATGTTATTCTCCCAGGGGATCTTGCCCATGATTCCTATGATTCTATTCTATTATTCTAATTGTGGAAGAGCTTGGTGACAGAATGGCCTGATGTGGTGAATCGCTGGAGTTTAACCACACAAACTGGGTATCATCCCACAAATAATATTTGGGTTCAGTGTGAAAACAGTAATTCATTGCCCTCAGCCAGTGCAACACTGGGAGGCAGCTTTCAGAGCCAGACAGCCTAAAATACAATGCCACCCAATGTAATTTTTCCCACTACTATTTCCTCTACTTCAGTGGATTTTACACTATTTTACCTGAGTGGTTTTCTTTTACATAATAAAAGCAGGCTACCCCCCAGACTGCAGTCAGAATGAGACAGGGTATGTGGTGTAGAGTCCATAGTTTGGGGAGGAAAACACCGGCAGGGCTTGGCTTTGAACTGTGCCATGTGGAGAACTGAGGGTAGAAGCACAAGGATGGAAGAGGTGACCAGGATGGGGAATGTTTCAGTGTTCATCCTTATATAGATGAGCACTCCACTACCTAGGAGGAAGGAGGCTTAAGAGAAGGACAGTGTAGCATCCCCTGTGCTACCTCTTACTCAGAAGTATCTGTTTGAAGAATTTGAGTGTAGTGAGAATAGAATCAACTTGTTAATTTTACATAAATAAAATGTAAATATGTATGTAGATAAATATTCGATGACTTCATAATTTTTTTGCAATATGTAATTCATACTTAGGCCCTTCCCTCCCGTTAGCCTTAGGCCCCTCAGAGCCTTAATCAGGCCCTGCAGGTATATATACCCAAGCTGGAAATTACACCTCCAGCTCCAGTGTAATCATGTTCTAAACAGTGTCATTATTGGGGTTCCTCAGGTCCCGAGTGTTTCATTCACATAGCATGAAGCTGAATGCAAGTTAAGTTGAGCAAGGAGAACCTTACTAAACCCTGTAGACTGCTATGTCACATGGCTGAGTTGCTTGCAGCCTATCTACCTATGTTCTCGGTTCTACTAGTGCCTTGTCAATAACAGTCCCTCCAGAGAAACACTGGCCCTAGTCGACTCTAGTACAACTCATCATGATACATCTCCCTATTTTATACGGCTGTCAATTAATCACAGTTAATGTCTGCAATTCACTGAAAACAAGATTAACGCTTTTAAAAAACAGCTTTAATCACATACTTCTGAGCAGGGAGGGAGGCATTGGCTGCAGAGGGACCTGACAGTGTCTGGTCAGGTGCAGTAACCCAATCCGCCTTTGGAGGGCGGGAAGAAAAGAGGAAGCATCTCCCATCCCAGCTCCGGCAGAGAGGTAGGGATCCTAACCCCTCCATGCCCCATTTCCCCCAGCTGGCCTCTCACTCCCAGGATAGATTCCCCCTCCCCCATACCTTGCCGCATTGCCCCTGGCTGGCCACTCACTCTGGGGACTGACTCCTACCTCATGCTGTGCCCCACTGTCTTGGTACAGATATTATGACAACACTAGTCAAAAATAAATGTAATCCTGTTAGAATGGAAGGGCAGGCCACCAATGAATACATTTTTCCAGTTGGATAGTCCAAATAAAATGGGATGTGCTACAAGCAAAGTAAGTCTTAGAAATTGAGAAATGGGTGATTTTTTCTGAACTTTCCCTAAAAATTCATAATAAATAATAATAGAAACAACATTTATGCGTTACATCCTAGAGTCCTGCCCGTTCCAGGCCTAGGCCCACACAGTCCTTAACTAAAGTAGAAAAGAAATGTAAACAAAACTAAACCTTCAGCCTGGTTAGGCTCAGTTAACAGCCACCTCAGGACAGGCATGCCTTCGCTGCCCCTGACTGTCCTCCTGTCCTGTCTAATCATAGGCTTCTGTGTCTTGATCAGCCCCACAACCCAGAGGCTAGCACACTCCTCCCCTCACTTGAGGGTTAGCACAAGCTACAGCTCCGGGGGGGGGGGGACGACACACACCTTATTCCAGCCCACACACCTCTAGCATCCTGTCTACTCTGCTTCTCAGCCTTCTTTGATGCTACTTCCTAGAGCAAGAGAGTGAACCTTCTCTACCTCCTTTCTTCTAGATCTCCCCTCCCGCCAACTGGCCTCCCCCAGCTCTTTAGGGCAACAAGCCCTGCCCTTCCCCAGCTGGGCTTTATTTTTAATTAGGCTAGCCCAGCCTCCAAGTACAAGCAGGCAGATTAATTGGCCCCTCAGGCCCATATTAACCATTTCCCAGCATGTGGGGAGTGAACTCCATCACAGCTTCATTTCACTCACCACTGAAATGCAGCTATGTCTTAGGATAAAACCAAGCAACAGGTTCATGGTCCTGGAGCATAATGCAATAATTTTAGGAAGAAATGAAGACTGAGGGAGAATTGTGGTAATAATATTATATAAGTGCTAAGTATTATTACTATTGTCAAATTTTCAAAATACTATATAAATATTAATTATGGACTTTTACAAAAACTGTCAAGGGATCATTAATTATAAAGTGTCACATACTACCTGAAAGTGGCTCCTCTAGTCATGCAGTGGCCCCTCATACCATGTTGAAACACTTCTTCATTACTAATTTAGCAGTGCCACCTGCTATATTATCTACCCTCCCTGCAGTATGTAGGGGTTTGGAGATCTCCCAGTCACCTACTTTACCAAATCAACTGACTTTCAATGAGACTCGAGCACCCTAAGTCACTTCTGAAAATGAAACATAGGCTGTTACCTATTGACAAATTTGCTTTGCAAGTCATAATTGCCATAATGTTCTTGTTATAGAACAATGTTCTACCTGGTGGGTTTGAGAACCATCAAGACCCTGTATGTTCCCAGAAACCATTCCACATACCTGACTTTTAGCTAGAATCAGATGGTTTACATTGTTTCATATGCAGTTGTCAAATAATTTATACAGGCCGTCCAAGAATGACTTGGAAAACTTTTGGGGCAGTGAGGTGGCTAGATCTGCAGACTGGCACTCTAATTATTTACTGTTAAAGCAATGGAAGAGGTAAGTGATTTTTTTGCTATTATAGTGTCATCTAGGAGGCCAAAGCAAAATTAGGTTATACTAACTGTGTATTTGTACAGAAGAGACAATCCTTGCCCCAAAGAGCTTACAATATAAATATACAAGAGACAAAAGGTGGGTGGGGCATTATTATCCTCATTTTACAGGTGGGGAATTGAGGCACAGAGATTAAGTGACTTGCCCAAGGCCAGAAAAGAAGGCTGTGGGAGGGCTGGAAATTGAACTTAAGTCTCTGGCATCCCTGTACAGTGCTTGAACTAAAAGAACATACTAAGCAAAGCAGGCAAGTAGACAGCTAAATGTATGTAAATGAGGTCTTACATGGTTTTAACGGGTAGTGTACCTAGGAAGAACTAATTTGAAATTACAGGAGATGCAGATAGCCTTTAACAAAGTAACCCCATACAGAAAATGTCTGGGGCCACTGTGAATAGGTCGATAATCATGTGTGATCAAGTAGCTGTAGTCAGGGGTGAATGGTAAAGTAGGTTGTACAATGGCAAAAAACACGGAGATAAAACCTAACAGAAAGCATTAGGCCAGCTCCATATAAATCACCTGACCGTGTGCAGGAGAACGGCGGAGGGATACCGGGGTATCCAAGGTCTATCGGCGGAAGGGGAAGAGGACATGAGGCGCTACCGACCGAGGAGGGCAGAGGTGACAGCGACAGGACGTGCTGCTGGCGGCCGGCCTTGGCTCGCCTCAGGCCCTGGGGCTCGCCTCAGGCCGCGGGGCGGAGGTCGGGGCGGACCGCAATGAGAACAAGTAGGCAGGGCCGAGCAGCAAAGAGTCTTTCGCGTTTGCGCGTCGAGCCACCCCCACCAGCAACCGCGTGTCCTGCGCATGCGCGTTCGGGATTGGGACGCCGTTGCCGTGGCTGCTGCCGCCGCTGAATGAACCCCAGCCCCTAGGGGTCCCCCGCCCCACCGTGAGGGGGCGCGGCCCTTCAGCCCCCGCCGTTCTCAGCCGGACGCTCCCCGCAGTGAGCGCCCGGGCCCGGAGCCGCCTGAGCGCGCAGCTAATCCGGGCTTGGCCGCGGCGGCGGGCGGAAAGTTCCTGACCCTGCGGGGCCCGGACGCCCCTGAGGCCGGGGCCTGTGATGGGCGGGCGGAATCCCCGCGGTCCTGCCCCCTGCCGCCGCGACCCCTGAGCTGGGGGAGCCGGCCCGCCGGAGGATGAAGAAGATCTTCAGCTTCGGGAAGAAGAAGAAGGGGCAGTCGCCGTCTAGCCGCGCCTCGCTGCCCGGTGTCCCCGGCGGCGGCGGCGGCTACGAGCTGCGGGAGAAGGAGCTGGGCAAATTGCACCGAGCGGCCGCCGGCGGGGACCTGGGCAGGCTCCAGCAGCTGCTGAAGAAAAACGACATCAACCAGCTGGATAAAGAGAACAGGTAACGGGGGCGGGCGGGGCGCAGCGCTGTGGCCCTCCCCATCCCAGCCACGGCCGGGCAGCGCGACTCGGAGCAGCCCCTTCACCTCCCTGTTGCCGGGGATCGCCACGTGGGGCCAGAGACCCTCCTTCCCTAGCTCCCGAGAAGCAGCACTTGCATAGGCACCAAGTGTTACTGTTGTTTTATTGTAAACCCAACCGTCAGCGGCTCCAGACCAGTGGGTCTCCACCCGCGGGCAGCTTGTGGCCCAATCAGCATGCAGCGGTGGCCCATGTGACATCCTGAAGGATGCCACAGGTAGTATATACAGTGTGTGGATGTGGTCCACATAACCGATAGACAGCTGCATATGGGGTCCACAGTGGTAAACAGGTTGAGAAACGCTGTACCCTAATGATGCTGTAGCCTTCCTATGCAGTATGGGCATGGGTCAGTTGCCATTTAAATTACTGTAAATGGTGGATTCTCTCTCTCTCTCTGTAACTTTTGAAGTCTTTAAACCATGAGTTAAGGACTTCAGTAACTCAGCCAGAGGTGAGGGGGTTAATTATAGGAGTTGGGGGGTGAGGTTCTGTGACTGAAAAGGAGATCAGACATTAGATGATCACACTGGTCCCTTCTGACCTTAAAATTTATGAGTCTTATGGCTAGGGTGACCACATGTCCCATTTTTAAAGTCCCGTATTTAAGCTCTCCTGCAAGTGTCCTGACTTTTTCTTAAAAACGGGCAAATTGTCCCGTATTTTCTGTCCACCCCCAGCCCCCATCGTTACTGGCGGTTCCTGCTGCTGGCTCAATCTCTACTTGCCAGCCACCTGCCCACCAGCAGTGTGTGGGGTCCAGTGGCTGATGATGGGGGTGGGTGTGCGAGGCTGGTGGCGGGGCAAAGCTGCAGCGTAAGGCTGACCACTTCCCCTGGTGGTCCATCAGCATAGCTTCCGCTGGGTGCCTGCTCTTGGCCAGCAGGGCCCCAACCCCCGTCCTATTTCCATCCAGCACTGGCTGCGAGCTGCAGTGGCTGGTGCATGAGGGCAGGCGCCAGGCATCAGCTAGTTAAGTGTAGCCCATGCATCTGTTCCTTATGTGCTCCCCCTCTTGCTGTCCTCTCCTTGCTTTGCCCCTTCAGCCCCTCCAACCCTGTTGCTCCTTCATATCTCTCTCCACCACCACCACCCGCTGCTGGTGAGCTTGGCTCACCAGGCTCTTGGCCAGCAGGCTCCTTCCCCCACTGCCTCTGTCTGGGCTGGCACCCCAGGAAAGCCCAAGACCCTCCAGCCCGGGGCGCTGGCCAGGAAGAGCCAAGCACAGCGCTAGTGCAGGGAAGCCTCTCCGCCCCTTAGCTAAGCGCTATGCCCCCCCCCCCCCGCCACTCCAGATATTTCCAGTGTGTTTGCACTCCGACCTTGCAAGCTCTACAGCAGACCTCCGAGCAGGGTCTTAGCATCCTCTTCACACACACCCCCACCCAGGGTCCTGCCGCCAGGGAACACAGGGATGCTCTGTCCCCTGGGCACCCTCCCCTGCTGAGCCACCTCTCTGGCCGGGTTTGCTGAAGCCCGTGCAGTCAGGTTCCCTGGGCCCTAGTGCACAATGCATACTCGGGGCTTAACCCCTTCCTGCCCACGCCATAGTGAGGGGATAGGAGGTGGTTGTGTTGTGTTGGTGGCCAACAGAAGCCTGGAAGTGTTAGCTGTCGACACTGTGCAGTCAGAAAGGGACAAGCTGCTTCCAGACACAAGGATGGGGAGGAAGAGATGAGCTCTGCAAAGACAGGGGCCAGGTAATCCCTTCCCAGTCCCCTGCTGCTGAAAGCAGCTCCTGTCCCATCTGTCCCTCACAATGCTGGAAGGCTGCTACTGGCCACATTCTGATGTGAACCCTGGCAAAAATCTGGGCAGGGGGGTGGTATGTGACCCTGCATGCTGCCCCCATGTGTTGCCTCGAGAAGAGACGGTGCCAGGTACCAGGAGAGGCGGGTCTGTCCGGGGCGGGGGGGCCCAGCCAAGCCAAGCATGGAGGGCGGAGAGCGCCGGGCAGGGAGGGTTGGGTCAGGTCAGTCGGTCACCACCCCGTGTGAGAGAGGTGTATGGGAGTGTGTGTATGTCACCTCTCCCTGTGTGAACCCTAAAGCCTTAAAGATAAGAAGGTAAATAAAAATAATCTAACTACTCAGTATTTCTTTGTAAAACAGGCTTAGTCAACTTGATGCTAATTTGAAGTTAGTTCTGATTGATTACCATTGAGCTTACTTGAATATGAATAATTTTACCAGGTGTTCTGTATTCAGCATAGGGAAATATGGTCACCCTACTTATGGCAAAGCTATTTTCCCCCTTGAAACAGAAGTTGGGGAGCCAGAATGGCTCTGTAATATACCTTAAATGTTACCAAATGTAGACACACTTTTAGATGGTTTCATGCTTTTGAAAACTGCCAGTTGCTTGCAGAGCTGTAACAAAGCATTTTAGCTCCTGTGGTGAGCAAGCATATTTGTGCCCCCTAGATGCGACCTGTGGGGGGCATGTAGGGTCACATTCTCTTCCCCCCCCCCCCAATTTCTGCCTTCCGTTTAGCACAGAGGTTTTCAAACTGTGGGGTACACTTCCATGGAGGGATGCACCCCATAGTTCGAAAACTGTTGCCTCCCTGCCAGGAGCCAGGGTGTAATGTCAAAAACCACTACTGACAGATTTTGCTACAAGAAGCAGTTACTGACACCTCCGAATGGTCTTTTCCTGCCTTGTCATAATTTGCTACCTCTCACCTTTGAAATTCTCTTTGCTACCTCTCATCTTTGAAATTTGAGCCAGGGTTAGCAAATTCTGACAGATGGGGTCACCTGTCACAGTTCGCTACTTCTCAACTTATCCATCCTCTGGTCCAGGAGTAGCAAATTGTAACAGAGCATCAACCATGCATCACAATTTGCTAACCTGGGCTCCGGCCAATGCAGCTGGGCCCAATCTTGCAAGTGGCTGGGGGCTGATGCTACTGGGCCCAATCCTGCACGCCACCACATTTTTGTACCCTTGCTGGCTCTGCACCATGGGTGGCTGCTCTGCTCACCCTGCCATAGCTACAGCCATGGTTGCTTGGTGCAAATTATTTTAAGACTGTTCTTTACCTTTTGCATCCATTCAAACTCCTGTCCTGACCCTCCATTGGATGCTTATTCTCTCCTCTGTCTTGGAAGAAGTTTGAATGGAAGGAAAATTGTAAGGCCACCTGTGGTGCTAACATCTCCAGTAATCAGGAAGGTAGCTTTCTTATAGTACCCTGGCAAGCGCAATTAATGGAGCCATGAGGCACATTGTCTGCCTTTAGTTTTTGGAGTAGAAGTACCATTGATAATCCATTGAACTAGGTATATTAAGACTTAAAAGATGCAGAAAGTTGAAGTGATTGGCTTGTTTAGTACTAAAAGAAAATAATCTACAATGTTTCAAATGCAAAAGATTCAAGGCGCATATGTGCAGTGTAGACAAAAGGAGAATTACAGGCTGAAATAAATTAAATATATTTATTGACACACTGCAATGTTGACTGGGTTTTCTGTTTGGTGAAATTGTGGTAAGGTAATGAAAATAACTATACCCTCTAAGGATGGTAATTAGCCAATTGTGGTTTATGTTTTGGAACAAGTGATCAACTGATATTGGAATTTTTGGATTCACACAACAATTCATATGAGAGGTAATGCTTTTGAATGATATTTCTTGCAATCAGGAACAGAAGAGAAGTTTAAATTATGCAGCCACTAACTTTCAAGCAGGAAGTACAAATTGCAAAAATGATTTTGTTGTCCCATCCTGAGAAAATCTATGCTCAATATTTCAAGCATCACGTGAGGCCTTCAGCCATGCTATTCTCATTAGAATCAATGAGAGTTGAGGCCGGGGATAAAATGTTTTACAGTATTCTGAATGTAGGGGGGTTTATGTAATATTTTGGTAGATTTTTATAAACGAATACATTAAGTTACACATCCTTGAATATTCATACTACATATTTAGTTTTGGCCTTCTTTTCAAGAAAAATGTTTTGTTTTGTTACATGGGTCAACTATTATGAAAATTACTTTGCCAGTTAGGCCCTGATCCTGCAAGAAGTTCTGCCTTAGAGAGGACTCTTCTTATAGCAGGATTCAATGTTAGGACTATGAGAGTTGAGATTGGCACAAAGACAGGACACTTTTTTTGTGTTTTTTGCTTTGTTTTTTAGTGATTAAAAATTAAAGGTGATAATTTCCTTATCTTATTCTGCCAATCAGAAGTTTTATAAACCCACTCCAGTGAGCATAGGCTTACATTTGCTGCAGTAGCTAGAAAATGTAATATATATTTTATCTTTACAAAATTCAGAACTGTCTTGACATTTTGGTACAAAAGCCGATATCCTAACACTTTGGACAGTTTCGGCATTTTAATTATAAAGAAAAATTGCAGGTTTAGTTGTTATGGACTAAGATTCCAATCCTGCAATCTGTTCTGCATTGGCAGAACTCTGCTTTGCACTGGGGTCCCATTGAAGCACCCTATTTGGGCACAGGAGTCCACCTGTATGGTCCAGTTGCAGGATCAGCATCTAATAAGTGTATTCTTTCAAGGATATTTTAAATAGTTATTATTAGTTTCAGATTCTTAGTATTGTAATGTTTTAAAGTACAGAAATGTTTTCCATTGGTAATATGGTTTCATTTAAAGCTTATTTTTACAAAATCTAAAATTTGGGCCAAATTTAAATTGACATTATTCCTGTGACATAAACATCAAACTTTTATTTGGTTGTTGTTAATCTGATGTATCATCTTATTTTTAGGACACCTTTGCATCTTGCCTGTGCTAATGGACATTCAGATGTTGTTACTTACTTAGTGGACAACAAGTGCAAACTAAATCTGTGTGACAATGATAACAGATCCCCGTTGATGAAGGTATGCACAGTATTTAATGCAGTTATGTAAGATGTACTAATATTATTTTTCCATTTAACTATAAATTCTGTATTATGGAATGTATAAAGTTACGTTACTGTCAGTGGGTATTTAATATAGTATATAAACAAAATGTTAATGCAGTTTTTTATTTATTAATTTCATTAAGTTGTGGCAATTCTAATAAGATGGAATTTAACTTGCAGAATTTATTCTCTCTTTTTCTGTTATATTCACAGGCAGTACAATGCCAGCAGGAAAAATGTGCAACTATGCTGCTAGAGCATGGTGCAGACCCTAATCTTGTGGATGTTAACAGCAGCACTGCCCTTCACCTGGCTGCCCAGACTGCTAATATATCTCTAGCAGTACTATTGCTTGAGTACAATGCTCATATTGAAGCACAGAATAAGGTAACTGCTTATTTTTAGAAAAAGAGAACAAGAAAAATTGTAGATTTCAACTTCTAATTTAATGTGTGTTTTCTAAAAAAGAACAACGCTCATTTTTGTCTTAAAACAGTATTTTTAAATTTCCTTTTAAAATCTGTTTTAATCAGAATCTTGGTATATAAATCATCATCGGTAAAGCAGCACTTTTGGGGTGGGGGTGGCTAGCCAAATGTTCCCCCCAGGCCTCCTGCGGAGCCAGAACTTTGGGGACATGGCCTCAGCAGTCTCTGTGATCCCTCCCAGGAGTACTGTGTGGCCTGGAGCCCCACACATAATTTTCCTGAGGCCGTTGAAGAGGCTGAAGTTGGTTCCTTATTCCTGGTTACATTTTCCAAGTTTCTTATTTGTGCTACCAGCTCCTTATGTGGCTCCCAGTTCTTTATTCCAAGGCCAAAATTACTTAGAAATATATCAATATTAGATTAAATTTTTAGAAAGGTCATCAAATTAATGAGATTCTGATAAATTAAATTCCTATTTACTTGTTTATTAATTAATCAAGGAGCTAGGATTTGAGTGGCTGTACATGATGAAATAAGTTTCAGGTCACCCCAAGTGATACATCTCTCTGACTGTCAGACAGTTCTGAAGGATTTGGGACATGCCACTTGCTGACCTGAAACTATGTTCGTGTGCAATTTGCTGCTAAATTCATGCTTCCACCCCGCTTCCATATTGTACAGAGGACTTGAATAAGGAACTGGGTTTTGACAGACAGTATCTGACAAAATGCGTTTTGCTCGCCCCAAGTGAAGCATCCCTGTGATTGTCAGACTGTTTTTGAAGGATCTGTGACATGCCACTCCCTGACCTGAAGCTTTTATTCTTTTTTGCAATATGCTACTTAATATCCCATCCATATCCCACTTCCATATCCTAAATGGTGCTTGAATAAGGAGCTGGATTTTAACTGGCTGTATGAGATAAAATAAGTCTCTGGTCACCCCAAATGACTTGTCTATAAGGGTTATACACTTCTGAAGTAATAGGGGCTGTCTATGGCAAAATAATGTCTTGGGTCATCAAAATGATATGTTCCAGAGATTGTTACTTTGTTAGGAAGAGATAAGGATATGTCACTTTTAGAGGTGAACCTTTATTTCTGGTCTGACAAGTATATTATCCCAATTTTTATTTTGTGTTTTCTTTCTTAGTTAACATGTAATATGCGTGTGGAAAAACAACAAAAAGCAATATTCAATCAATTTGTTGCAAATCCAACTGTAATGTTTTCACAGAAATTATATGATAGTTACAAGTGAAAATGCTGGTAGGAACTTAGGTTTATTGTGAGATAAATTAAAAATAGGAAAAATGGCTAAATTTATTTAATTTTTTTTTTATTTTAGAGGGTTTTTTTGATCTTTACACAACAAAACTAATATGAAAACCCTGCATGGGCACAGTTGGCTCCCAAATAATCGTGTTTATTAACTATATGCCTAGATTAATGCATACTACTGTCTTGAGTGGTTTCTAAAATATAGAAAACAGTGAACACCACTAGAATGCTCACAAACTACTTCAAGGAATACTACTTTATTGCTGAATACTACAATTAGTTGAACCAGCTAGTATCTTTAGTGTTGCTGTAAGACTCAGGCAGCAGCTATGTGACTTGGTACACTTCACTAGAATTTGGAGAATTCTACCTGTGGCTCGAATATCTCCACCCCTTCCATTTTAATTCTAAAATTCTGTCATAGAAATGCCAGCCCTGAGGTTGAGCAAGTTTGTGGGAACATACAAAATTATTCTCAGTGTTGTATGTTATCGCAACAATCTGTGATAACACCTTTCTTTAATGAACTTTACTGTTTACACAAATAATGTTGATGACTTCTGTTGAATTAATCAATATTTGAAACTTTTCAGAGTAACAGCCATGTTAGTCTGTATTCGCAAAAAGAAAAGGAGTACTTGTGGCACCTTAGAGACTACCCAATTTATTTGAGCATAAGCTTTCGTGAGCTACAGTTCATGCTCAAATAAATTGGTTAGTCTCTAAGGTGCCACAAGTACTCCTTTTCTTTTTGCGAATATTTGAAACATTATTTTAAATATTAATGCTATATGCAAGTTACCTTGTATAGTTCTACAGAGAGGGCAGATGAAGGTTTTTCTTCTGGACTAGGGGCATTTCATTTTTGTCTAAATAATCAGCGATTGGTATTTGAAAAGATGTAGATCACTACTTTGAGATATATCCTCCAAAATGCATCGTGTTTTCTTTCAGCTTACTTGCTATCATACTCAGAAATCTCTGAAGAAAGTAGGCAAGGGTTAAATTTTTAAATCTTTCTTGTGATCAGACTTACCTGCAAGTGTAATTAGTAAGATGCATGTTTCACCATTAATGAAATGACATAATTAATGTAATCAATTGCACTTGTTCGCTTTAATTCTGAAATTGTGAAATAAGTAAATAATTTGCTATATATTGTAATACAATATTTTAATTGAACAATTGTTGCTGCTGTTAGTGCTGATCAGTGGTGGCACCTGTACTTAAGCATTCCTAAGGATTTGTGTGATAAGACACTGATTTACACAGATGGGAAGTTTCTGCATGAATTTCTGCATAATTTGGTGCTCTCTGCTCTCCATAAGGAAGGTCTTATGGTCTGTAATCCTGACACAGCCAACTACTACACCAAACATCCACATGGAGTGGGAAACTCTGAAAAAAGATATGTGTGCAGAAGGTTTAGTAACAGGGTTTGATAGATAGAGACATTTTTAGGTCAGAGGGGACCATTAGATCATCTAATCTGATCTCTTGTATATCTCCATAAAATTTTATTCAGTTGCTTTTGTATTCAGCACTGTACCAATTTGTGTTTGACTAAAATATATGTTCTAGAATGACATCCACTCTTGATTTGCAGATATCAAGAGATGGAGAATTCATTACTTCTGTTGATAGTTTGTTCCAATGGTTGATCATCCTCTCTATTAAAAATTTGTGCCTAATTTCTAATTTGAATTTGTCTAGCTTTAGCTTCTAGCCATTATTTCTTATTCTGCCTTTGTCTTTAGTACCCAGTTTTTTGTACACATGAAGGTCCTTACATATCATAATTAATTCATGTCTCAGTCTTGGTTTTTGATAAGCTAAACAGATGTAGCTCTTTGACTCTCACTGTAAGGCATTTTCTCCAGCCCTTGAATCGTTTTTGAGGCTCTCTTCCGTGCCCTGTCCAGTATTTCCCTATTCTTTTTAAAATGGGGACACAACTGAATGCAATATTCTAGTATCAGTCTCCCCAATGCCATAAACTGCTGTAAAAATCACCTCCCTACTCCTTACTCAGTACTTCCATTTGTACGTACGAGGATGACATTAGCCCATTTTTCCACAGAATTGCATTGGGAGCTCATGTTCGGTTGTTTGTCTACATCATTAATGACTTGGATAATGAAGTGTAGAATACATTTATAACATTTGTGGATGACACCACCCTGGGAGGGATTGCAAACTTTTGGTGACAGAGTTAGAATTCAAGATGACCTTGACAAACTGGAAAATTGGTCTGAAATCAACAAGATGAAATTCAGTGAAGACAAATCAAAAGTACTACATTTAGGAAGTGTCATGGAGTCACCAGGTCAATGCTCTGGAACTACTCCATATGAAGCCAGTCAGGACTGTGAGGAGCATGCCTCCTCTCTCTGAGCATACTGTCTCCAGGGCAAGAAGTGTACACAGCTTCGACCTTCCTGGGTCTGACCTCGGAGCATTCAGCATCCCCTTCCACACCGTGCGCTTCCCACAGTGAGTCCATCCGAGTGGAGTTCCTGGGGAAGCCAGAGGGCCCTGCACCCCAACTCTGCAGTCAGATGTGACTCTCAGCCAGCCGGTAAAACAGAAGGTTTATTAGTCGACAGGAACACAGTGTAGGCCAGAACTTTTTAGCACAGAAATAAGTGACTTTCAGCAAGTCCATCCTGAGGGAAAGGGAGTCCAGAGCCAGGGGTCTGGACCTCCCCCTGCGCCCCACACCAGCCGAGACTGATTCACTTCCAGTTGCCTGGCTCCTACCCTTCCCATTGCTCCTCCTCCAGCCTTTGTCTCGCTCCCCGGGCCAAGAGTCACCTGGTCGCATCCCCCTCCTGGGTCACAAGTTACGAAGGGGCAGCTATGCACCACCTAGACATTGGTGCAATATACAGGGAAACTGAGGTGCACACAGCATTCATGCAAAACAGTAAGACTCACATAGGCTCACATACAACATAACAAGGGAAACTTCCCACTTCATCACAGGAAGGAAAGATCAAATGGGGAATAACTGGGTAGGTGACAGTACTACAGAAAAGGATGTGCAGGTTAGAGCAGATCACAAATTGAATATGAGCCAATAGTATCATGCAATGGCGAAAAAGGCAAACGTAATTCTGGGGTTCATTAACAGGCGTGTTGTAGGTCAGATATGGGAGGTAATTGTTCAGCTCTACTGGGCACTGGTGAGGCCTCTACTCAGCACTGGAGTTGTGTGGCCAGTTCTGGGCACCACACTTTTTAAAAAAGATGTGTAGAAATTGAAGAGAGTCCAGAGGAGAGGTACAAAAATGATGATAGGTTTAAAAAACCTAATCTCTGAGATAAGGTTTAAAAACACTAGGTTTGTTTAGACCTTGAGAAAAGAAGACTGAGGAGGGACCTGAAAAGTCTTCAAATATGTTAAGGACTGTAATAAAGAGTATGGTGATCAATTGTTCTCCATGTCCACTTATGGTAGGACAAGATATAATGTGTTTAATCTATGGCAGGGGAGATTCAGGTAAGATATTAAGGAAAACTTTCTAAATATAAGGATAGCTAAGCACTAGAATATGTTATCAAGGGAGGTTGTGGAATCCCTGTCATTGGAAGTTTGTAAGAGTGAGTTAGGCCTGATCTGCTGTAGGCGGTTATTTTGGAATTAGCTGAGTTAATTCGAAATAAAACTGATTCCGTC